TATCCCCCCTTGGTTTATCCCCGGTGGTTTATCCCCCTTGTTTTATCCCCATTATTTTATCCCCCGTGGTTTATCCCCCGTGGTTTATCCCCCGTGGTTTATCCCCCGTGGTTTATCTCCCATGGTTATCCTCGCTGCTCGGTGAGCACCACTCAGCTCCGGCGCCGCTCCAGCGCTGGCCGGGCCGGGAGCGCCTCGGCTGCCGGAGCGCGCTTGGCCGGCGCCCGGAGCGCCCGCTGGGGACGGGGCAGGGCAGGTTTACCAAAGATCAGGTTGCAGCTTCCCATCAATCGCTTCCTTCAGAGCTTTTCTCGTCAGCGAGGGCTGAGACAGGCACGGGAACGGGCTCAGGGAAGCAGCTCTGGGGCCTGGGAGGGCAGCTGGGGGATGGGGCTGGGAATAACGGGAGAGGAGTTTCTGCTCCCACGCCAGGGGGGCTGTGAGGTCCCTTCCCACCCAAACCATTCCATGATTCTCCACTCACTGCGTGCACCGATTATTCCCCTCCTTTGTGCCACCACGACATTTGATGCTGGGCACGGGTGGGATTTGGGGGCCCACGGGGCTGAGCAGCGAACACGGGGTGCCTGGAAAACCTCTGCAGAGTAAATCCCAGCCCGGCCGCTCCACCCCAGGGTCCCGGAGCTGGGTGACAGGGAGGGCCATGTCCCGGTGGGACATGGGAGTGCCGGGCAGGGGGACACCCCGTGGGCAGCAGGGAAGGGGGGAGCCCCTGCGGGGGCTGCTGGCACTGGGCCACCCAAGCCCCCCCAAACCTCGCGTCCCCTGGCCCTGACCAAGGCTGTGCGCCCCATCCCCCAGCCAGGCAGGGCAGGGGTGGCTGTTGCAACACAGAAATCATTTCAGAAAACATGGGAAAGGAAAATAATGAGCTGAGAGGGCTGAGGCCCCAGTTGGGGACACCTGAGCTGTGTCCTGCAGGTCCCCAGGGTTCAGGGACGGGGAGCAGCAGCACAGGCAGAGCCTGTGGCAGGTGAGGGGTCACCGACCCCCTGTGCCCTTGCTGTGTCCTGGGGAAGGGGCTGTCACCCCTTCTCAGAGCAGGAAACACGTTCCAGGCTCCCAGGCTCAGCTCCCAGCTCCTGCTTTGGGGTCCCATTCAACACCTGGAGGGCCACCTGCAGTGCCTCTGGCCCCGGCGAGGAGACTGCAACAGCAGCAGCCCCAGGCAATGCCAGATCCGCCCGTCCCTCCGCTGGCAGTGGCTGTCCCACGGCAGGAGCACTCAGGGCTGGGGACACCCACGGGCCCACGGCAGAGCAGCTCAGCCCTGCGGCTCTGCCGAGGAATCCGCGGCGCCAGACAAACCTGTTCTGTCCGTGCGATCCTGTTACATAACGAGCAGGTGAAGGGAACGCACGAGATGGAAAAGATTTTGATTCCAGTGAAGCGTTTGATCCTGTCTGTCACAAACCCATGAGCTCAGCACTAATTCAGCCCTGAGCCCGAGTGGCTGAGGAGCCCCAGCTGAGGGTGGGGAGGCACGGGGTGAGCTCTGCCACTGGCACAGCCGTGGTGCCCCAGACAGCTACTGGTGACCAGTTCCATCCTGGAGCACCGAGGAAGGAGCAGAGCTGGGGCAGAAGGCAGCAGGGCCGCTCAGTCAACCAGAAAAACCACCCCAGTGCATGGCTGTGCTCCGGGCCTGGGAGAGCGGGCAGGGAAACTGAGTCAGGGACAACCCAGCGGGATGGGCAGTGACAGAGCTGCCCCACCCAGGGCAGGAGGGGCACCCAGGGCACCCAGCCCTTTTCAGGAACTCTCCCTGTCACAGAATCATCAAAGTCCAGGATGCTGTGGGGAGAGACCTTAAAGCTCACCTCATTTCACCCCCTGCCATGGACACCTCCCACTATCCCACTGCTCCAAGCCCCAACCAGGGGCACTTGGACACTTCCAGGGATGGGGCAGCCACAGCTTCTCGGGGAGTTCCATTGCAACGCCTCACCGTCCTCCCAGGGGACGAATTCCTTCCCAATATCCCATCCCAATATCTAACGCTGCTCTCTGGCACTGGGAAGCCACTGTGCATTCCCAGGAGATTCCTGCTTGGCAGCCCCAGCAGCATGGCTCCGTGTGTAATCCCAGCAGACAGGGATCCTGCCTCTCCCAGCAGGACCTTGAGCAGGGCTCCTCGGGAACGCTGCTGGAGGGTGCCC